CTTTCAACACCGCAATCCGTTTGAAATTAAATACTTCGAGTGACGAATATGCACTCGCAAGAAATTAGCTGTAGAAACCTGTAATGTTAGAGCAAGAAGAATAAAAGATCTTGCGGAGACACCCACATAGTAGGCGATACCAAATTTCCGTTTGATTTTAACTTCAAAACGGTTCAAAATCAGTGCTTTTTGATAAGTAATGCATTAACGTGGTTTTTAATACCAGTATAAAATACCTTTAGTATCTTACAGAATCTTCATGTTTACATAAAAGCGCATTTTGGTTAAATCTCACGCAAGCGCGTATTGAATGAACCTTCTCAGAAATATTTTTAATAGTTGCTTCATAAGTTCTTGCAATATCAGCATTAGACGGGGCATCTATATCTCTAGTAGCTATATTTGCTAGATTTTGTGACGAACAATTTTTATTACCAAAAAAGGTATCTACTCCTTGGTGTCCGTAGCATTTAGGTTCTCGAAATTCTAAATTTGTTCGAACAATCTATAATATTACAGAGTGATTAATTTAAAAAGTGAAGTTATTGCTGCTTCGAGTAGATATGGCATAATTTTGAAAGTAGATCATCATATCCGTAATGGTCAGAACTAGGTTTGCAAACTTTATTCACTGATGAAAAATGGTATTTATATTTCAAAATAGCATTTTTGTTCTGACATTACAGCATTATAAATTAACTTTTTTGGTATTTATTAAGAGCTAGGTTTTATTAATTGTAAACTAGCACTGTTTCTCTCTTCTCGCAGTTTTAGGGTTATTGTCGAAAACTCTACTTTCCGTAAACGCAGATGTGGCAGCGATAAAAACTAACAAAGCAATGAATATGAACCATTACTGCAAGATGATGAGAATCCTTTATTTTGGAGTTAAATTCCTTGCAAAATACAGTTCGTCTATATTTATTTATTAAGCTTCAATTTTTCCTCTAAACACATACTTTCAAAAACAGCATCATAAAAAGAAGCTTGAACAATCAGAAATGGCGACAAAGTTCAGTGTTTAGATTTTATGAACGCCAATATAGTAATTTTGCATACTATATATTTTTGAAATAGTATGCGGAGCTGAAATATAGTACAATACTATGAAGGGTGTTTCACCCAAGTGGCAAGTGTACTTCTTTTTTCAAAAATGTTTTCATTTTGAGTTTCTAAACATATTTTATGTATAATGTCCTATACCTATGTCTAACTGTTTGTAAAAAAAATTGTGCCTCCAGCTTAAACAACTTAAACAACATTTTTATAGTCTTTTAATGTTTGATCGTCATAATGAGCTAAATGTAATTGTAACTTGACATGTTACTAATACAAGTTTAAAATTTTACACAAAATTTAAAAATGTAATAATATACAGGGCATTCCATTTGAAATAAGCAAGTGTACAGCAACTTTCCGTTGAACCGGAGGAGAATATTTTTAAAAATAAGTACACTTGCCAAATACCTTAACCGCAAAAATTGAAAGGCATTTCGAAATTACATGTCATTAAACTTTTAATGAACCTAATTTTCAAAAGCTAACTATTTTCCTTATATCCTTTTATGTATCTCTTCAAAAAAAGTTTTAATTTCCGAGACAAGTGTTTTTCATATGAGCCATATTTAACTATGATTATTAATTCCTCTGTTTTATTAGGGCAATTCCCCTCGGCGCTAAAAAATTCTAAAATGATTCCTGTGTTTAAGAAAGGGGATTCAACAGACATAAAGAATTACAGACCTATAACAATCGCAAGTTGTTTTTCCAAAGTCCTAGAGAAAGCCATGTACAATCGAATGACACATTTCTTAGATCAAGAAGATATAATAACAAATGTGCAACATGGTTTCCGCGCTGGTCACTCTACGGAAACGGGGTCAGATGAACTTGTCCAGCATATTTATGATAAACTAGATATCGGAGAGACAGTAATCGGAGTTTTTTTCGATTTATCGCGCGCCTTTGACTCCTTAAACTTCAGTATAATGGCAAAGAAGCTGGAATGCTTGGGCATCAGGGGGCCTATCAATGATTGGATCATATCGTATATGAACCATAGGAAAATAAGTGTCAAAATAAATGGAACGTACTCAGACCTTTATAGCGTCAGCCTGGGCACGCCTCAGATGGGAACTTTGGGTCCCTTATTGTTTCTTTTATATGTGAACGATTTGCCGGAATTTCTCAACAGCGACTGTCGTGTCTTTATGTACGCGGACGATACGTCCGTCTTTGTCTCTGGAAGAGATGCAGAAGTGTTGATGGATGATGTATCTCTTGTTGTCTCACAGTTTAATAACTTCTGTAGGCAAAATCATTTGATCGTGAATGTGGAAAAGACAGTCGTGGTTGAGTTTACTGGTCAGTACATTAAACCTTTAGATGGCTTATCAGACCACGAAGTTTCTTGGTTCTTATATTGATAGCTCCTTGAGATGGGACCGGGACATTGACAATGTCTGCAATAAACTAAATAAAACCTTTTTCGCAATATTAACAATTAGAGATTCATTTCTTGAGAAGGCACTAATAGCTTTTTACTACGCGTCAGCTTACTCTTCCATTTCACACAATATTCTCAACTGGGGACAAGTGAATGATACTGAGAGAGTGTTTATACAGCAAAAAAGAATACTTAGGCTGATTTTTAAACTTCCTCCGAGGCAATCATGCAAAGAGACATTTCAACAGCACAAAATATTAACAATGCCTTGTATATACCTATTTAAAATACTTTTGATCACACATAAAAATAAATATTCACATAGGAAGCATACTGATATCCACAGTTACAATACTCGCAATAGAGAACATCTGCTCAACTCAACCAAATGTTTTATAAAAAATCACTAAGTTACGCGGGACCATATTATTATAATTTGCTGTCTCCAAGCTTAAAAAATTTATCTATAAATCAATTTAAAAAACACATCAAGAGGCTAATGTCAATGCTTTCTACAGCCTGAAAGAATTTGAAGCGTACCTGAGAGCATCGTAAATAACGTCAAAAGTTTACCGAGATTTTTCTAATGTATACTCTCTTTTATTTTAAATTACATTAACTTGTTTGTCATATTTGTTATATAAATATATACTCGTATTCGTTCTATACATTACTTAAGATTATGATATACATTGTTTTTACAATGAAACTTGTAATTTATTATTTGTATTTATTGACGAAACATCCATTGTACCACCTGGTTTTGTGAATAAATAATCTATCTATCTATCTATCTAATTCAGAAGTATATAATAAATGATGTCCATACATGTTCGTGACAAAACATTTTTCTTTTTTAGCATTTCTTGCCTCTTTCTTTTTTGCCCTATTCCCAATTCCTGCACCTTCCCTTGGAAGAAAGCATCTTGCATATTGTTCGTTATATTTGCTCAGACATTCATGGTTACGTATAATAAAGTTTATGATTATTTCTAAAAAAATTTGATAACTTAAAAACATTACCATAGACAAGTTCAACCTTTTCAATATTTATATTCATTTAGAAAACATCCTGTATAAAGTCTAGGCCACACTACTTTTTATGGCGAGACATTGAATGTATTTCATCTATTTTAAAAACGAACTCAATGGGAGTCGCTCGATCGTGATTTTGTCTTACCGAAGTCGATATATTATTTCTGGATCGACCTTTTCGATGTTCGCAAATAGAACGTTAATTTGGAACAAAACAGACTACTGCGACCGTTTTAATTTGATTTTTACACATGGTGCACCTTGCGGACCCGCAGTTTGCGATATGTTTTTAATTATACGTATTTAAACGGGGTCGACACTTCAAATAGCCGACAATAAATAAATGTTTTATGTTTCGCCTGTTTACTTTGCGGACCGAGTAAAAAGGATCTGACTTCCGGTCGGCATTGTGGTTTTGCAGGTAGTAACAGGTGAAGGAATATTTCGCGGATATACGAAATGAAAGTCCGTCGTCGAAGTATGAGAACTTTCGAATAAATAAATATCCTGCTTCTCAAGCCCTTTTCGCTGGAAAAATATTCTCGTATTGATTTCTTGTATTAGGTTTTAGAATGAGCCTAATATTAAAATATTTTTTCTATTCCCTAATCCGAAATTCCCAGTTATGATGCGCAGTGTCGCTGCTAATACGTCAGAACTGTCGTCGGTCACTTCGAGCGTTTCCGGTACTTTAGTCATGGGTTTGGGAGTTATCGGATGATTTCGGTAGATTTTGATCATTTAATTTCGTGCCACAAAAAATGGATGGCGTTTATCAAAACTTGTGTAGTATATAATTAGCGAAACCATATGTCTAACCTGTGACAACTGTTATTTGTATGTTTTTGCAAAATCGTGAACGAGGCAACTTTCTAATGCTGCTCAAAAATTTTTCAGCCCAGTTTGGCTAGAAGATAGAGTCGCAAATAATTACGGAACGTAGTAACATCGGCCATTGGTAATCAAGCACGTGGGTTTAGAATATATCTATATTGTAGGTTCGCTCTATAAATCGTATGTAGCATGCCACAATCCATTTATATCAAGCAAATTAAATTGACCAAACTATCTCGTATTGTTTGCACAACGCAACTTATGGCAATAAAGTTTTTGGTCTCAATTGAATGTGAACACAGATGAGAGCTCTTTTCAAGAATTTTAATAAGAGTTAGTTTAACTGATTTCCACTATTTACTAATTATATTAGCATATTATACCAAAACAAAACTATTACAACAGTATTCCGCATCAGAAATTATTGATAACTTTAAGTTTTTTGTCAGGTAGCTACTCATATAGGTCTTAATGTACCTGTTTAAGGCATCTGATTCAAATATCTTTAATTATATCAAAAGTTTGTGGAATTATAGTATTAATTTTTAAGAATGTAGATAGAAAACGTTGGAGGTTGTATGGAGTTGCCTATATTTTTCCACTTGTGAATCGGCAGCAACAAGTCGCAACAGGCAATTCATCCTCTCGTACGGATCCTAACAAAACCATATTTTTATTGTTTTAGGTCGTAACGAGCTGATAGCAAGGTATATTAAGCTAAGGACGGGGAAGACGAGAACGAGAAAACAGGTCAGCTCGCACATACAAGTCTTAGCCAGACGAAAATTAAGGGAGATACAAGCCAAACTTAAAGTCGTAAGTGTAACCGAAACCCATAATTAACACTCCTGAGGGCCGGTTTTTCAATCCATAGTTAAACTTCAAATTAATAGAATCCCACCTTGTCAATACTACCGACATTTTTCATTTTTCATATTTTCATTTCATATTTTGTTAGGTTATCGCTGAAAACATATCAGGTTGAACTATTCAACTATGTTGCCTTCTGTAATTCTATAATATTATATGTGCAGCTATTTCTAATATTGCTAAAAATTTGCTAAACTGCTGCCGAAGAAAATCACTTTCGTTGTAAGTTGACTCTTCGTGTATTGAATAGTAATTGCTACTAGCTTTGAATGATTACATCTGGTTTTATATTTATACTTTTATTTGGGCTTTTATTTATTTTATATTTTATTATTTTTTTCTTTAATTTATTTTTTCTTCGCCTTTTAAGCATCTAGTTCTGCTTAATAAAGATCGTCAACCAATGTACAAACCAATTAGTTCAAATTTTAAGAAATAAATAAAATGCGCCAACAAAATTTTTATATTAACAAATGAAGGGTTCGTCTGCTATTTAATGATTATGATTATCGTTTTGCGGGTAATTGATAATTTTTTTAATGTGGGTAATTGAAGAAAATCGAAGAACCGACCTTTATAAGACTAGGTAGTCGCGTTGTAATCAAAAAAATTCGCGCCTTCGTATATGATTAAATGAATATTATTGTCGCGTTTAAACACAACGCAGTAGGAAAAGTTCCAGTTATTATTGCGAATTGATAGCCGGCGAATTTTTCAATGTTAATCGGAGCGTGTAATTTTTTTCGTAAAGCCCATTAATGGCTAACGATAATGGACGTGCATGAGCGTTCGTGCAATTATTGTTATTATTAAAGGCGTGCCCTTGTTAATTAATATCGAATAGATTCGTTATATTTCCTGTAGACGGCTCGCTTAACTCACTATTAATGCAATTATTGTCTGCAATTAAATTCGACTATGTATAAAGGTTTGCGTCACGAGCTGTGTTGGTCAGCGCTGGATTTACATGATACCAGGGGCTTTAATGCCAAAATTGTGGTCAGTATCAAAAAGTTCCTAAATTCTCCTCAATTCCTCAACATTTTTATCCATTTCCAATCCTATTGACAAGGATTTTTTAAACTACACAATTTTATAGAAGTCAAATTTAAAAGACAGGGATTTTTTTTTTCAAAATTGGCGCACCAACTTTCACATTAAACAAAAGGTTTGAAAGTAAATTTAATACATAATCATTTTTTATTCCAAGTTGCTATCAGATAACTACGTTATTTAATTAATTTTGCTTTTAATTTAAATTTAGAAATTAATTGATTTAATTGAATTTTGTGCAAAGTTTTTTAAGGAGATTTCTTGTAATATTACGTCGTCACCGACTAACCACATTGATTTATTTCGGCTTACGCTTGTCGAAAAATGGCGTTCACCGGCACCAACTAACCCAATCTAGTTCTCTAGTATATGCTGACTCTATCACTTGAACACTTATAGCTAATAACGCTTACAAGCTTCACTTCCCATTTAATCATCAAATCATAAACCGCCATGATAAAGCACATCATAGGGTCAATACGTAAACAGATGCATAAATCCTTTACAAATTTTTCACAAATCAGTGATAAATCTCTATAAATCAGCGTAAAACTATGTGACTCCTGAATTAATCCCTAATAAATCACTGTAAATGTTTCACCGCGTCCAAAAACCAAAAAAATTACACATATCAAAGTTACGGAGATCATTGAATCCTCTTGTGGTTATGGTTATTGGTAATGTTGTAAATGCTACCATATTTTATGTCAGCGGTAATATGCTATGTTCACCTCAAGCCCGTTTTATTGAATGTTAACTCTTTGAGGAGCAGGAAAATGGTTGTGGGATCGTATGGGGTGACGGTGGGCATCTTTAAAAGCGGACATATTCGTTTGGTAGGATCATGCCGCGAAGGAGAAGGCGCTCCAAACGATGTCGAGCATGTCTAGCGCGCAGATAGTATCCGCGACTGCAATGCACAGCAAGTCGGCGGGCTTGGGCATCGGCCTAACCACCCCCGTCTCCTATCCGGGAGCGGTAAGTGCCCACCTGCTGATGGCCGCTCGCGCTTATTCGAACGTGCGAGAGGTGGTTTTTCATTTGCTTTTTGCTAGGAGACGGCTGTGGTCTTCGGAAGCTCAGCATCACCAAGGTTATCTGGCGTTTAAGTTGGGTAACCTTAAGGTGATGGCGGCTGCTTCCGAGCGTACGATATAATTGGAAACCACAGTTTTATCGCGTCGATGTTTTTCATAAAAGTTGATCAAATTGTTTCAATCATAATTTAATGTCATCCGTTACGGAAAATTACCAAATAACCTATATTGTATTACTACTGTACGATGAGCTACCTAGGATAGAACAAACAGCTGTTTTGGTCCAAACACGCAGGCACCTATCAGTCAAAGATAGCTATATTTTGGCGTTAGACATTAAGGGGACAGTTAGCTTCACTCTGAGGTCTAGTTTGTATTATTTTCCCAAATTTGTTATTTTATTATAGAAGTATATCAAATGCAAGCAATGTTCAATATACGTTCACGTTAATTCATTCTTAAAGCGGATCTACTGGTTCGAAGACTTCATTAACACCTGAAGTAAACCCTTGTTGTTGCGAGTTTTGTTGGCTGGGTAACCCTCACCCCTTGTATACTCTTCCTTGAATATATCACGTAATTCCAGAAGACGCCAGTTTCAGGTGGAAAATCAATAACCCAATTAAATATCACGCGGTTGGATTATTGCAATTCTCGATCACTCATTGATGCTCCGTAAATTAGAACAGTCGATTTTTTTCCTCATAAACAGTTTGATCAACCCACTATTGGAAAACAGTTTCGTATCGGACGCGCCTCGAAAGCTTTTCGCATTGGTTTGGCTATAGACTAACAGAAATCTCGCCGATTGTGCTTACTTGCTGTGTGTTGCGGGCTACTGAATACGTCAAGTTCTAACATTTTCGGTCACAGTTGAAATAAAACGCAAATGGAAATAGATGTTGCGACAGATTAGGTTCGCTTATCTCGTGTCGATGATGTAGAAAACCAAACGAAATCAAACAAGGGCGGATTAGTTGATTGATTTTTTTTTGTTGCCATTTCAGCAATTTTGGCAACCCGGTCTCCAGCCTGGAACGTCGCAAGAGTAAGTTTCGCTTAAATGCATAGAAGATTGCGGATCTGTCTTCAGCCTGAGTTTATCTTTGTCTCTGACAAGGTTGTCAGATTTCCACAAACATTTCAAGTATATTTTGAAAGTTTTAAAATAATTATAGGAATGGGTTCCCAAGTCCAATATTAACTTTTGCAACTTGCACTCTTATGAAGCTTCTGCAGAGGAGAACTTTATTAAGGATTTCAAGATTTATTCATTTTAAATTATGTATTATTAGAAATTGAAAATGATACTGACAAATTCAAAGATAAGCTACCGGTTGTGTGAAAAGGCAGGCCTTGAAAAAATAAATTGGATATGTATTCATATTTGAACATTTTCTTCGTATTGTAGTGTGAAGCCGTTTGCCCAAGCAGCCTATTCTACCGGAAAACCGGCGACGGCCGTATCGGCCGGTGAAGTAGGACCGCTGCAAGCAGCGCCGCCTCCAGTTTGGGAAGGGAGAGCGATAGCGACTCACAAACTGAGGCTCGTGGAGTTTTCGGCGTTTATGGAATCCCAGAGCAGGGAGGAGACAGTGAGTATTTCATTTGTCTCACCAAATGTCGACCCTCAAAGTCGTTTTTCTTTGTTGCAGTATCAGAAACACTTATTCGTACATATAGGAGGTCCTGCGTTGTCCTACACCGACCCTCTGCTGGAGGCGGTGGACGTCCGACAGATATACGACAAATTTCCCGAGAAAAAAGGCGGTCTCAAGGAGCTTTACGACAAAGGACCTCAGAACGCCTTCTTTCTGGTCAAATTTTGGGCCGACCTCAATTCAAATATTCAAGACGAAGCTGGAGCCTTCTATGGAGTCACCAGTTCGTAAGTGAACGTGATACGAAATGAGTAAGAAGGAACCTGCGGCTCAACTTACATGCGTTATGCTCGTTTGCAGGTACGAGAGCAATGAGAACATGACCATCACGTGTTCGACGAAGGTCTGTTCGTTTGGAAAACAGGTGGTGGAGAAAGTTGAAACGGAATACGCGAGGTACGAGAACGGCAGGTTCGTTTACAGAATACACAGGAGTCCCATGTGCGAGTACATGATCAACTTCATCCACAAACTCAAACACCTGCCCGAAAAGTACATGATGAACAGCGTGCTTGAGAATTTTACCATCTTGCAGGTAAATCATCGAACGTTTTTTATTTCGTCAATATTCTAAAGCAATAAGTATGCATCAGAGATCGCAAGTCAACAAAAAAAATCTCAAAAATTTATTTATTTTCCTCGAATTTGTTGTAGGTTGCTTTTGTTCGCAACTCTTAAACAAAAGGTTAAACCTCTGATTAAGACTCCCCATTCAACTTGTTTCCATACATCCTGGGTTCAGTATAACGTTTGATTTCTCAGTAGGCGACAGTATCGGAGTATCAAAACTAAATCGCTATTAAAAGCGAATTTGAAAATTTTTTTGAGATGGCCGTATTACCGTTCACACCGGAATGTGAACCCACTTATTATCGTATATATTATTGTTTTTTTTCCATTTTTTGGAAGTTTTCAATCGAATGAATAATAAAACACACCTATGTCATTGGTTTCTCTTGAATATGCGCAAATTAAGATTTTCAATGAAACTTGTACAGGCTACTGTAGTACTATTCATTCACAAATATTCTGGATCCCTCCTGTGTCCAGCAAGACATTAGGAAAGTGGATAAATTTTTTTAAGGGGAAATAACGCTGTGTCCAATGTCCTATATTGTTTCATTTTTCATATAGTTTTTGCGTATTTCTTTCAATCAACTTTTGCTTATTGAAAATACAGGGTGTAATATTGAAATGACATCGTATAATTTAATGAATGTACACGTATTAAATACTGTCCAGAAAAGTTCATTCTACAGGGTGATCGTACAAACAAATGACAAATTATTTTTTAAAATAACGTTAATTGACTCTTAGACTAGATCATTCTTCAATAAAATCCCCATTAGCGGCAATAACGAACTCAATACGAGATCGGACACGACTGCATGCCCGAATCAAATGCTCTTTCTTCATGTTCAACTCTTTCTCAACTGCGCCCCATACATAATAATTAAGGGGATTAAGATCCAGGGAGCTGGGTAGCCATAACTTTGAGGTGATCTGATCATACAAATTTTCGGCAATTCAATCTTGTGTCTTGAGTTTGTGCCGATATAAACTGTCCTCTGCGCATAACGTAGGACTTACAGTGCAGTTTTTCGTGGACAACTCGAAGGAGACAGAGCCATTAAGATACCTCACAATTGCCCTCACGGGCATTGAAGAGATTTCGTGCACTTGTTGGACAAAATTGTGTCCCAGCGTTCCTTGTGTCATGTTTTGCAACAGTTTCTATATCGATTCACGATGAACTTTAAAAAAAACAAAAAACTGTTCTCCATAAGTTACAGCCACATATACAGATGTCCTCAAATACCGTACGCACCCTGTATTTGTTTACTATTTCTTATTTTGTATCCCGTACTCCTATTTTATATTTTTTTTGCCATTGAATAAACTATTACTGTTCATGTGTTAAAGTCTTTATGGTGCAAGGTGTTTGTAAATGTAGAATGAGAAATTACAGACAACTTTAAGCGATGTTTGGATTGGATACGATTAGAAAATTACAGCACGTGAGTTGTAAAATGTGCCGCTATTTTTGTAAGCAAAACAGAACCCGACTCATTAGATTATATGATATAATACTAATTTATTAATAATATAATATTATAATATGATTATATGATGTTAGAAATTAACTACAGATTAACATTGACCAAATTTTTAGGTGGTAAGCAATCGAGACACGCAGGAGACGCTGCTGTGCACGGCGTACGTGTTCGAAGTGTCAACGTCGGAGCACGGCGCGCAGCACCACATCTACAGGTTAGTGAAAGACTAGCGAGAGGGCGCCCGCGTCGTCGTGTTTATACCCCCTCACTTCAGTGCCTACACCACCACAATACTAGTATTAATTGGTCCCGCAGCGTGTGCGACCGGATAATTTTAATGCGAAATTGCCATTTGATATGTATCGTTCAACAATAATAAACGGCAGCCGTAATTTTTGAGGTGAGTCGTCGCATCCGGGTGCGGCGGTTTCGATCGAAAAAAAAAAACCTTATTTGCTGGTTAAGAAAAAATTGCTCGCCTCTCCAATCGAGTGTAAAACAAGTCGGGTTGCCCATTTTTTTCGTATTGGACTATATCGACCTTCAATAATCATAGAAAAGTATATTTGTTTGTTTTTTTTTCGATTATAGTTTTATTTTATTGAGACGTACTTTTTAGCTTTTAGTTGTTTTTTTTTGTTTTCTGACGCGCGCAATATCAATTATTTTCAGTTGTACTTATTATGTTATTTGAAGATGTCTGTGGGAAAACGACGAGGTTTTACTTTGCCAAATGTCGACAAAAACGGAATCATAAAATTTTAAACATATTGCATATTGTTTACTCCCACTTTTTGCGACGAAACTGCCAATAATGTGTGCAATTTCGAAAAGTGTATAACATTCAGGCCTCTGCTTTGTTCTTTCACACTTTCAGTAGTATATTGACAACACAATGACGTGGTAAGCAATCATGTCTAACCATTGACATTTATCTATATATCTGTCCTATTAACATTTTGAGGATGTAACTTGGGAGGTTGTTTCTCAAGGACAAAGCGCATCCGACTATAGTTTTAGTGATTTTTATGGTCAACAGATGGCGTTGAAAAGACAATTTCGGATAAATAGTTAAGCTTCGTCGTTTTTGCACTGGACCCCCGTTTTTTTTGGCTGATTAGGAATTTGATTCTGGGAACGTGCGCACTCTAATACGATAGCGTAAAAATTAGTAGGTGTACTGGACATGTCTACTGAATCGGTTGCGTTTTTTTTTTTATATCATGACAAGAGACGTGGGCATTTTACTCCCAAAATGCGCGAGTAAAACAACTATTGCAATACGCGAGAGCGGTTCGAAATTTGATAGCGAAATTTTTATTTATTGTAAATTTTTAATTACGTATACTTTCCCGTCAAATAATGAACCGAGCTTTCGGAATCGCCGGGGCAGAGAGTTTATCTAGGTTTAACGTTACAATATAGGTAATAAGAGTTTGCTATTTGTGATGATAATTTTTAACACTGTGTATAGAAATAATTATAGATTTTTATCTGATTTTTTCTAGGATATCGAACGAAAGACCCAGTATTTAATTCTTTTTTATTTCTGAAAGACGCATATTTACCGGAATTCTTTCGCTACTCATTTTCGAAAATTTGTTATGAGATTATTTTAATTTTATTTTTTGTTAATTTACTGCGTCCATTGCCGGTCGACGGTCATTTATAGATATCCGCGGCGCTGAATGGAACACAATTTCACATAAGTAGTTATAAATTTTTTATATTATTTTTTTTTATTTAAAAATAAAATTTATAAAGGCAAAACGAAATAATTGATTTGTCTTTAATTTTACGATATATGGTTCCATTAAGTTCCGTTGAGCGTTTTTGCAAATGGCTACTAAATTCCAACGTCAGCGTTTTCGGGCTCTGACGTCATTATTTTGCAGTCGGATCTATAACTTGCAACGTGCAATTTGAAATGTTTACACTATTTTTATTTTGACTTTCAAGTAACGTATGTTTCACCTTGTAAACTATAAGTGGCAATGATTTTGATCTCTTATTTAGTGTTTGGAAGTTGTGTTTAATAATTATATTTTACATAGAATTTTTCGGTAGCTTTGTAATTCACGTTTCGATCATTTTTGAACTGACACACGTGGACCAAGTTTATTTCCAGAGTTTTGCGCAATATTTTACACGGCTTTTCGTTTTCTTTGAATAATGTGGAAATCGGCTTGGTCAGTATACGTAGAATATCTTCCGTGAAGGTATATCCTTGTAACTTACGGCTAACCCTAGCGGCTGTAAACGAAAAATTTAAAAACCGTTTAAGGACGTCGTAACGACGGCCATCGGAAGGACGGAACTCAATCTGAACAATAATGGTGACAAAAAAAAGTCTATTTTAAAAATTCACTTGGTGTCAGTCGTATCAAAAGCAGATTGTATATATATTTCTATTTAAATAAAAAGAAAAACTAAAAAATCGAAACGAAATGTGGCGGCTACAGACTATTTTTATTGTAAAAAGGACCGGTTAATGATAATAATAAAAAATATCTTCATAAAAAATGTGCTATATATTGAGATTTTTTGTCCATATCTCTAAATGCCATATCAAAGGTTTATAAAATTTATTGAATTTTCCGCTCTGTATGTTGTACAGTATTTTAAAAATCATGTTTATAATTTGTATGGAAATTATATAAAACGATAATAAAATATTAAGCATTGTTTCATTTATCCCAAAATCGTTGAGTCCTTATAGAAATGTCCCAACAACAGCGAGGTACTTTTAAATTATATCTAATATTTGGTGTTCCGACTGAGATTGAAGTGTAGCGTCGAATTATTTTTGCACTAGTTGATATTTATATAATCGTTTACAAACCACACATTGATAAATCAAAACCTTAAAATTAGTACATGTAGGAATGTATATATAATAGGGACATTTTACAATAAACAAAATAAAAAAAACACCTTTAAAAGAAAACACGTAATTAATTTCATATCTCGCTTGGGAGCATTCTCCAGACGTAACCACCAAAGGACGCCAGAAGATGTTTCTATCTCTTGACATTTACATATAGTTGTGTGGATTGGCCTATGCCCAAGAGGCATGATTTAGCGTTTAGAGTTTTCCAATATTGTTAATTCAGGTGAAAGCTCGGGGGAAGACTTCGTCTTGAGTACATCCGAGTATTTCTGTTTCCAGAGTGATTTTATGGGCTTAGCTGATGGTTGAGTTGCGATTGCCTAGATTTCAGTCTAGGTACAGATTGGTGATTACAATTACTGATCATTAAGTTGCTTGTCTCATTCTTTAGAGCTGAAAACGATCTAATGTGAGACTATAAATACAAGTAGACCGCTTTGGTAGGTATTGTCTTTGTATGGACAGATCTTCTCCAGGCTGGACGACAAAGATGGCGAATGCCGTGGCACGTAGAACATTTGCTTTTACACCCCGTGTTGCAGATGGTAGTTTGTTTGTTTCGTTTGGAGTTTGGTCTTGTTTCCTCAATATGTTTTTATAGGTTTGAGAGTAATGGTATGACGAGAGCAGCAGTTCTCCAGTCGAAGTCTATCCAAACGATGTCTAGCCTTACTCCCTGTTCAGGTTGGAACGAAGTTGATTTCCCCTTTAATAGTCAGGACTTTGAGTTCCAGGCATTGTCCATTCTCCATTGTGGGACTTTGCTTGATATGCGATCCGAGTACATAAAGCACTTTGAGGACCTATTTGGTCGGTCGATGGTTTATATGTTTAAGAGCATCGGAGACAGCACACAAGGAAGTATCGCAAACTGTTCTTCTGGTTTCGCCATTTGCTCATTCTGTTTTGAAACTCAAACAATCTTCTATTAAAGAGTAGTGCTCTTAGGACTCCTAGGACTAGGACTAATTGGTACCTTTAGCTTAAATTTAACGTTTTGAGAAGTAGTAGTGGGGGTTAAGATGTCTTTAAGCGCATTCAAACGATGGTAAGTTTGTTTGTAGTAAGATTGACAAGTTAAGAAATATAAAACTATATTTCTAGCTGCGTAATGCCATCAAAAGCATCATTGACCTAAATCGGTATAGATGGCGTTCATTTTGCAAACATATAATAAATTATTAATTATATATATCCACATATAGTACAAGTCGTGGAGTTAAGCTTACAGCTTTCATCTTCCTTAGGAGGAATTTTTCCGGCTTGTGATAAAATTTGCTTATGCATTGCTCTTGATTTATTATGAGAAAACCAAACTAACAGGATAAATGGCACTTATAAATAATCAATATATTAATGGCAATATATGAAACCCTAAAAATATATACATGTAGCTTTTGGTGTTCATTTTCCAAGAAAACAATCATAACAAATACTTAATTTAGTAAAAGCGGCAAGCAGATTTCAAAATTTCGCGTTTTGCTTGAAAATTTGAAATAATTGAATACATATATTATTTTTTGCAACTTATGAGAAGACATTATTGTATTGGACCTAATTGTTATAACAAAATTATTGTACCAAAAAATCTCGCCTTTTAAGGTTTGCGGACGTTAATGATTACAATTTTTTTTAAAAAGGCACGTTGTATTTTCCAATAAGTACAACCTATAATATTGGAATAAAATTTACACTTTCCAAGGCCATGGTCAAAGTTATAAAAATATTCATCATCGTATAGAAATTATCTCTAAAATGTATACAATAGGTATCTATCTGGTAATAATAAAAATCTGCCGTTCAGATTTGTTTCTTTCGTTTCTTCTCCATTCTCGCATTTCGTATTATTAACATAAAATACAAACCGTTAGGTAAAATTGTTGCACCGATTTTACCCTACTGGGGCTATTTCATACCGTAATATTCGAACGAAATTTCATCGTAGATTATGTCTTCTGCCACGTTGTCCGCCAAATTTAATCCCAACGTGTTCGGATTGATATCCGTGATGAAGAAATCGCCGCCCAGACCGCACTCGTTCACCAAATCCTGCGGCGGGACGGGCGGCGCTAGAAAGTCTTCCAGGCCGTTGGGTGTCTCCGTAACGTTTATAAATTCCACGTGAATTTCGTCACCGTTCACGGTGTTCTACAAGGAAATGCGATAGTAAAGATAAACTTGATTAACGGTGAACGATGTACCGAGTTCCGACTCTCGATTTCTCCCAATATGCTCTGCGTGGCAGCTTGGAGTTCACTCTCGAACGCCTCCTGCTCGTCCGGTTTCGCGTCCTTCGTACATTGGTTCGTTGACTGTAGAAATTGCTGTATTCGTTGCCTCTAAATCAACCAATCGTTACTTAGAGACGGGACTATTCACGTAAACTTAGTATCCCTCTCCACCTACTTATTTTATTGGACTGAGGTGGCTTTTACTTGATAAAAATCCATTGAACACAATTAAAGTAGAACAAAAAATTTTCAGATTTTCACATTTAACGATTTATGACAGCTGTTTCGGCCACACCGCGCTTTTATCAAATACAAAATATGACAATATTCCGACACCTATATAACTAAACAGGTAGGGGTGGGTGGGGCAAGGCGGCACCCTTAAGCTTTTTATTATTTTTTGTGGCTTTTAACCATCACGCAGTTTTATTTTTTACTAACTTTAACTAAAGCATCTAAAATTTTTATTGGTTAGTTTTGGTTAGAAAATTTTGGTTAATTTTTGAGGTGGGCCTCCTTGACTCAGGGGGCCGCCTTGCCGCACCATCCCCTAGTAATGGTAGGATTATAATTTTAATTTTAACAACAGACACGCATTTAAATCCAATTGGTCATTAAGTAATAGATTCGAATATCTCATTCTGTTAATCTTCATAACTTCCAACTTGTAGACTCTGGATTTTTGAGTTTTTCGTAATTTAGTTTTATTGTTTTTTTAAAAAATGTCCTATGGTGTTTTCAGTTTTAAATAAAAGCACGGTGTTATCGAAACAGCTGTCATAAATCATTAAAAAACTGTGAAAATTTAAATTTAATTCCGCTTATTTAAAATGGAATACACAACATGTATTAAAGATAAAGAGTACTTAATGCATTTGACTGAATAAAAAAATTGTTTATTTTAATATGTGTTATTTTACTAATAACAAAGTACCATCAATTTAGAAGATGCTGCAGAAAAAAAAATGTTCGAAATAGAATTTGATGTGGAAATGAGAAATCGCAGAATTGACACAAGGAAACACATTATCACCTGTGATAAGGTATTTAAAAAATGACGCTTAATATGAGAATAATTTATATTTATTTTCATTTACACTTAAAATTTTATTCTGAACAATATATGATGTGGTTGTTTTTTTTTACTGATTTTTTTTTTAAACAGGCAAAATTGTAGATTAATAATGTTATTTCATAAAATCTAATACAAAAATATTTAGTATGCAGGGGGTTTCACCGAAAACTTCGGCGATCTGCTATGGGAAAACTAGTAGCTAAAATTTGAAAATTTTGGATTATACTGGGGGCAATTTAGCTACAATATTTTCAAGATGACGGCACATCCGGATATATCGGAAATGGGTGTTTTTGTCTTCTTCTTTTTTATTATTCCTTTTTTTATTATTATTTATTATTATTATTATCATTATTAATATTATTATGTATTTGCAGTCCGAACAATATCTCTGAAAAATTGTACCACGCGAAATCCTTTAAAATTTTACTCTATTAACTTACATAGTGTTGGGACTGCTCAATTGACCGTAGTTAATTGACAGTGGTCAATTGACCACTTCTTAATTGACCTGTCAATTGATCGAAAATTGATACTTCTTAATTAACGAGTCAATAATCTATGATTATTTAATAATAATATGATTTTATAATAAATTATTATGAGTTTGTTAGTTTTCAGAACGATATGATGACGATGTAAGGCATAATTTAAATAAATATAAATTTCATGACATTTTTAAAATTATTTCCATCAATACCACAACCCTAAACTTACCCTGAACAAATTTAGTCAGTAATTTATATTATACGATGTTGAAGTGAAAAGCGGGTATTTTAATAATCCTTATTTAGAATTAACAATTAGTACTACTTCGTATTAAGTTGTATCGAATATTAAAAGTTATCGAGACATTGCCGTTTATGTTTTATTTTTTACTTGGTTTGTTCTTAATCTGAGTTTAACACTACAACCGGCAAGACTAGCGCTGCATACAGATACTTGCATGTTGTGATCAGTTGCCATAAAAAAATATTATCAAAGCTCATCAATTATTATTACTATATTAATTTTAACCAGAACATGCGCTACGTTCGCGTAAAAACAGGAACCATCACTATATAAAAGTTATGATTAGAAAAAATCCAAAAATCCCATAATATATAGGGCGTTCCATTAAAAAATAAGAAATTTGACATTCATTTTCCTGTATATCCGGATTTACCGCCATTTATTTGATTCAGGTTGCCCCCACCAACGTCATTTTAACTAATGATCGGTACCTGTATGTCGACACAAAAATTGCAAAAAGTATTTTAAATGATCTTTAGCGTAGCGAAAACTCTTTACCATCTTCCAAGTTTTGTTGTCGTCTTTCTGAGAAATTGTCCAAAAATGTCCGGCCCCATGAACAGCTTTGCCGCCCTTTCGGAAATGCGGATTTATGGACAGATTGTGTCGGACGGAATTTTTCCATCGGTCATCGTTTTGCTTGTAAAAAGGAAAATGGTCTCTGAAAAATAAGGGTGGTTCTATAGTTGTGTGTTCACAGCGTTTCGTTTAGTTAAGCACTTATTATCATCATCTTTAATACTTCCTTAAATTATTTTTTTATAGACAGTGGCACAATACAAAAAATGATGAATAAACACTTGACACTGAAAAATAGTTAGTTCGCCATTGATAAATGCTCACATCACTTGTAACGCTTTTGACGGAAATTAAAAATTAAGTTATGGAAATCTGTAGCGGAATACAGTTTTTTTTTTTTTGTAAATCAAACAATTATAAGTGAAATTGGCGCTAACATAATTCTTTATTACACTGTTTGAGGTCAAAGGTACAGTTTTATATGGTATTTCGAAAAATAAAATCAAGCATCGGTGGTTCAGTGGTAGAATGCTCGCCTGCCACGCGGGCGGCCCGGGTTCGATTCCCGGCCGATGCAGTCTTTTTTTATTTTTACTCCTTAAATTTTTTTGAAATATGAATAGTCTTGACTCCTCGCCAGGTGTTTTTTGCATAATTTAAACCATTAGAAACACCAGCTGATGTATTTCCACCGAATTATAACAAATAAGTGCTCCCTGAAGCGAGTCGTATTTAATGCCCCGTTTAATGTATTCAATAGGTTGATTTACCATAAACAAAGAAAGGGTCGAACGAAAACATGACGTCATCGCCCATATTATATACCGGGTGTTTCAACGAAGCAGTTTACTAAATCCTCCGCAAGAAAATGTATCGATTTGATTTTTTAATATAGTAAGAAATGCATAAAGGCCATTTTTTTGAAATAGGTTTTTCTCAAAAGACAAACGTCAGTTATTTGACGAAATCGAATTCGCTAATTGAGAGATAGAAATATGCGGGATTTCCAAAAAGTATAGAAAAGATATATCGCAAGACTTACACAAATGATCAGAAAACAAAAACACTGGTGGAGAGGAGTGGATAACTTTAATATCTTAAATAGAGACCTTCAGTTTTTATTACAGATTCGGATTCCATCCCACGAAACGTTTGGGTTTTGTCAAATGTTTTCTATTGGAATCTGAATTAATGGCAATGTAATCGCAAAAGAGACGATTTGTAATGTTTGTTGTTCCGTTCAACATATTTGCCTACTCCGTACAACAAATATCAAAACTCAAAACCCAATATTTAGGTTGCAATAAATAATTCAAGTTGACACCCGGCTATTGCTTTTAAACGACACTAATGGCGCGGGAATGATCATGACGTCATACCGCTGCTTTTCGATCATTTACGTTTATTTTGGCTCGTATAAAGTTTGTATTTGTGCTTTACATGATAATAATGGAAGCAACACAAAAAGAATATTACATATCGTGCCATCGTGTTTGAGTACAACCCGTAAAACGCCAGATAAACTTTTTATACGCCTACCAGAAAATAAAATCCGTCGATTTTTGTTAATATGATATTCAGGTGTCACTTTAGCTTTACCCGTGCAAACATTTTTAACACTTCGAACTTGCACCCATCCTATTGCAGTCTCCATAAGAATGGCTTCCCGATCTATATAAAATAAAGAACACTTGAAGTTATCAATGCCAAGATATTTTAAAATTAGTATTTAGGTTTCCACTGGTTTAAAAAAAAATCCTTTTTGTTTTATTTTTACGAATAATTTACATTTTATTTGATATACCATTTCAATTTTAAAAACTTTAAGCTGATTACAATATTATATCGGTTTAACACCGCGAACCTGAGCAAAAGGAAAACTTTCGGTGTTTTGTAAGATTTCACCATACACATATCCACTAAAGGTAAATTATCAGATCAGATTTTACAAAATCGGCTTCGGTCATTTTAAAACCTTTCTTTTTGATACTAAAAACAAGATAACAAAAGCAAGCGACAGGATCAAGACTAAAATTAAAATTAAAACCACCAAGACGAACGCGTTGTCGTTCTCTAATGAGTTGTCTATGCCACCGTCCGGCTGGCGCGTAGTCTAACGAGCGAATTGACGTCACAACCGGTCACAGCCAAGAGGATTTAAATTTTACTTCTACTAATTCACTAGTTTATAAACCACCGAAATCAAACTAGCGACTAAATTCCTGCTTTGTGGAAATGAGCTTAAAAACCACTTGGAGAATAAACTTTTTTACTTTTATATGTTTATGAAAAGTTAAGGTCCATGTAGGTCCTCTTTATTTTTCATATACAGGACGTTAAATTAAAAACAAACTAGTTTTCCTCATTTTATTTAGATATTTTATTGAAATTTGAGCACTTTTTGGCCTGAAAATTATTTTTCTACCTTCACCAGTGGCGTCGGGATGAGCATGACAACGCATTGGTTATTTTTATCCGAAAAAATGGTACGCCACTGCTTTTTTCGAAAAGAAATGACATTTTTTAAATCCCGAAAATTAAAAAGCTGTCAAAAATTGGTGGGTTGTTTCTGATATACCTTGCTCATCAAAAATAAAGCGATTGCAGACCTACATTGACATAAACTTTTATTAAAGTCGTCCGAGGAATCACGCACTTAAGGATCAGCATCTTATTATGAAACGTCCTGCACCCTAGCAATGGCAATTTCGCATAAAAAAAAGAAAATAGTCACTGCGCACACGTAAATCCTACTGACGCGTTTCAATTAAAAACTGAGAATCAAACAAAACCGGAAAAATTCCGACGTTTTCTGACATTTAGTGGTCAATACCCAGTGAGTCAGACGGTAATAAACAAAACTAAAAACTATCGAAGCAAAACGAATTTTCTTTATCGGGCAAAGCTTCATGCAGTCATGCTTGGGTCTCTATTCGAGAACATGCGACGTTATAAATCTTAAAGTTTAATCGGAAAATTGCTGATTCGGTCGCAACTATAACGAAACGGTAGTGGTGCCGTAACTAGGCCTACAGATGATTCGGGGTCAAAAAGTTCCGGGGCATGGGGGAGTTGAAATGTGTCCCGCGACATGCACACGATGGGGTTGCGGTTCCTCGGCGCCTGGTACGGAATATTGACGATCTCGATGATACCCACCGAAACGTTTGAGCCTGGCCGCGTTTTCCCCACATATAATAATTGAGCAAATTTGCCCTTTGCCGCGGGGGCAAACAATGATAACATGACAATAAATAAAGGGTGGTTCGTTTTCCTTTAAATCTCTGCCGCAGCTCTTTTTTTATGACGCGTACCTGTCATATATAGATTGACGCGGTAAAAGGGGACCAATCATTCTTCAGATTAAATTCTGTTCCATCGTCGGAACCAACCAATTCAAGTTCTACTATTAGATTTTCGTTTTCGAGCCAAATTTTCCAATCAGTAAAGTGATTTTTCGGTAACAGTTACGACAAACTATAAAGACCGGCTAAATACGTTCAAAGATCCCAAATGTAATTTTTGACTCTCTCGCATCGTTGGACATAAAAGTAAAACAATGTCGACAATTTTAACCTTGTGCCTACCGATTAATAAAGAATTTTATCTAATAGGAAATTTTAGTGCACTAGCAAATCAATCGTGATTCTTCTAAAATTGTCGTAGTCGTTTCAATTAGTATAAATTAGTGGAATCTTTTTTGAATGGCAGCTACGCACGAGATTCATTTCATTCATCAACACAAAAAAATAAAACCTTTTAACTACCCTTGCAAATCGTTTATTAAAAGTAGATTGACCCTAGACAGACAGACACAGCAAAATCATCTTTGTTGAGAGAGAAAGAAAGAATTTGTAGAGTAAATAGAATACTTACTATTATTAGCAATAAATTTTTGCTGATATATTTCTCAGTGTAGGATTTCAAATCAAGTGGTCAACAAAGCATATTGCAAGGATGTAGAATAACTCCAACCCAAAAAAAAAAACGAATTTTAATTTACTACTGTATTTTATCGAGATCGTAGAACACAACATTTTTGACCGTATCCCTGACAAATCTGACAAAACTACTTTTGAAGAAAAAGTAATATTAAATTTATTAAAATTTTTATATTCTCTGTTGTATTAATAGAAAAAGTCGTTTTTATATGCAAGATATTTTTTGTAATTTGTGTTAGTGAGTATTTGCATGAATGATTATAAAAAAAAAGAAAAAACTCGACATTTTTTGAAAACTGAAATTTGGTAGAAAGTTATACCTAAAATATTCACATAAATCTAATTATTTACATAATAATATATTATGCAACAAGTTTGATAAGCGCCATTTTAGTCACGAGTTTGATTTGACACGAGCGCAACACGAGTTGCAACTGTTTTAGAAGTATTATAACGATGGCGAACTAAACGCAACATATTGCTCAATTTAAACTTAAAAATAAGTATTGTGTACATAGAGAATAAGGTTATTTTTTTTCCAAAAACACTAAAATATTATTCATTGCGCTGGTATTTTCTTTCTTATTTTATTTATGTTTTTTTTACCTATTCTCTATCGTACCTGCTCCTTGAAGTGTATTATCTGTTCACGAGTTTAACATTTTAATGAAAAATAATGAAATATGCTTGTGCGCCAAATTCAGTATACAGGATGTTTCAAAACAATTTTAGTGGGATATTCCGTGTTTAAAATAAAGGTTAGTTTGTTATATAAGGAAAGGATGGACACCCTTATGACGATCCAAGCTACGGAAAATGATAACGAATTTTGGTACATGGAATGTCCAAGGAATCTCCAACAAAACAAACGAAGTAATTTATGAACGCCAGAGACTAGACATACAGGTGGCAGTGGTAACGGAAACTAAAAAGAAAGGACAAGGCTCCGAAAATCTGGGACATTACGATCATTTCTATAGTGGCGTGGCCAAAGGCAAGAGAGCACAACAAGGCGTGTCTATTCTGGTTGCGAAAAAGTTGCGAAGATTTATAGCCATTGGTGAACGCATTATCAAAATGAACTTGACACTGTTTGGACTTAGGCTAACGATGGTCGGGGTGTACGCAGTCAACGACGACGCCCCAGTGAACAAAAAAGACGAGTTCTTCGAACAGCTGCATTAAGAAATATCAAACATTG